TCCCTCGATTGGGATTTAAAAAAATTCAGTCATAATTCACATACCACAAAATTTACCCTTCTCCAGTGTACAATTCAGTGCTTTTTAGTATATTCATGAGGTTGTGCAACCATCACCACTATCTAATTCCAGAATGTTTCTACCACCCCAGAAAGAAATCCAGTATTCATTAGCAGTCCCTCCCCTCTCCTCCCCCCCCAGCCCCTGGCAACCACGAATCTACCTTCTGCTTCTATGGATTTGTCTGTTTTGGACATTTCATATAAAATGGATCATACAATATGTTGCTTTTTGTGACAGACTTCTTTCACTTAGCATCATGTTTTCAAGGTTGATCCATGTTGTAGCATATATCAGCACTTTATTCCTTTTTAAAAACATTGTTAATTACTGTAAAATACACGTAATGTAACAATTGCCATCTTAACCATTTTTAAGTGTACAGTTCCGAAGTATTAAGTACATTCACATTATTGTGCAGCCGATCTCCAGAACTGTTTTATCGTACAAAACTGAAGTCTGTACCCAAGAAACAGCTACTCTTCGCTACCCTTTACCCAGCCCCTGGCAACCGCAATTCCACCTTAACAGAAGGTGTGAGTTTGACTCCTCTCGATAACTCGCGTGAGCGAAATCATACAGTATTTGTCTTTTTGTGACTTATTTTATTTAGTGTAGTGTCCTCAGGTTTCCTCCACGTTGTAGCATCTTTCAGAATTTCATTCCTTTTTAAGGCTGAGTAATATTCCATTGTATGTTTATACCATGTCTTGTTTATCCATTCGTCAGTCTGACGGACACTTGGGTTGCTTCCACCTCTTGGCTATTGTGAACAGTGCTGCTACAGACACGGGTGTACAAATGTTTCTTCGAGATCCTGCCTTCAATTCTTTTGGCTATATACCTAGAAGTGGAATTGCTAGGTCCTGTGGTAATTCCGCTTTTTTTCTGAGGAACTGCCATGCTGGTTTCCATAGTGGCTGCATAATTTTATATTTCCACCAACAGTGCAAAAAGTTTCCATTTTTTCTACATCCTCACCGATACTTGTTATTTTCTCCCTCTCTTCTTTTTTTTTTTTTGATAATAGCCATCCTAATGGATGTGAGATCTTCATTCATTTGTAGGGCTGAATAATATACAGTTGTATGGAGATACCACATTTTGTTTATCTGTTCACCACTTCATGGCCATTTGGGTTGTTTCTCTTTTTGGCTATTATGAGTAATGCTGATAGGAACATTTGTGTATAAGATTTTTGCTTGACTATATGTTTTCAAATATCTCGTTTAACTTTTTGAGGAACTGTCTAACTGTTTCCCAAAGCGGCTGTGCCATTTTACATTCCCACGGCAGTATATGAGGGTTCCAATTTCTCCACGTCTTTACCAGTACTTGTTATTCTTTTTTTTATTATGACTATCCCAGTGGGTGAGGTGGTATTTCATTGTGGTTTTGATTTGCGTTTCTCCCATGGCCTATCATGTTGATAGTCTTTTCAGGTGCTTATTGGCCATTTGTACATCTTCTCTGGAGAAATGTCTATTCAAATCCTTTGCCCTTTTTAAAGTTGGATTATTTGTCTTTTTATTGTTGAGTTGTAAGGGTTCTTTATATATTCTGGATAATAAGCCCTTATCAGATATATGATATGCAAGTATTTTCTCTCACTCTGTGGGTTGTCTTTTCACTTTCTTGAGTGTCCTTTGAATCACACTTTTAACTCTGATGAAGCCAAATTCACCTATTTTTTTTCTTTAGTTTCTTCTGCTTTAGGTGTCGTATCCAAGAAACCATCGCCTAATCCAAGGTCAGGAAGATTTATATCTATGTTTTCTTCTAAGAGTTTTCTAGTTTTAGCTCTTATATTTAGAGCTTGGATTCATTTTGAGTTAGTTTTGTAAATGGTGTGAGGTAGGGGTCCAAATTCATCCTTCTGCCTGTGGATATTCAGTTGTCCTAGAATCATTTATCGAACCTCATTTTGGATTTGTCTGACTTTTTTTCTCCTGTTTATACTGGGGTTGTGGTTTTTTGGGTGGAAGACCACAGAGGTACAGTACCATTCTCATCACATCATGTCAAGGGTACATGCTATCAACGTGACTTTTCACCAAGGATGTTAACCTTGATCACCTGGCTAAGGTAGCATTGGTCGTGTTTCTCCACTATAAAGTTACTCTTTCCCCCTCTTTTCATACTGTCCTCTTTGGAAGGAAGTCACTACGTGTAGCCTACACTTAAGAAGGAGTTAAGTTCCACCAGGTTGAGTGCTGATCATCTACCAAAATTACTTCCAATTCTTCTGCACGGAATAGTAGTCTCTTCTCCCCTGTTTATTAATTTATTCAATCAGTTATTTAAATCACTATGGACTTATGAATATTTATTTTGTACTTGGGGTTCTAATCTGATACTACTTTATTCACCTTGTTGTTCAATTGTTTCTGGCTTTGGGCATTGGGAGCTTCTTCAGTTGGCTCCTGTGTTCCTTTGACATTTTCCCATCATCGTATGTGTGTGTGCTTAGTGCTTCCTACTTACTTTCTGGGACCACAAGACGCTCCATGCTCCTCTGGTGTATTTCCTGACCTAGTCCTAGAATCAGCCATTTCTCCAAGGATCCTGGATTCCTTTTGTTGGAAATGGCATTAGAATCCAAAGCTGGGTGCTAAGTGTGCTTGAAAAGTCCATTTTTAAAAACTTGCACATTGAGGAAGTGTTAAAATTAACGTCACTTTCAGATCTAAACCACAGAGTCAGGTCTCTGCTCCTTGGAAGAGAAAGGACCGAGGTGCAGTCTGGACCAGTGGGTGGCGAGCACAGCTTGAGTTTCCCAGCCACCCACCTTTCATCATGCTCTGCGTCCTGGATGAGTTTCGAATGAATGATTTTTCTCCTCATTATTGGTCCTATTTTTCTGCTTCTCTGCATGCCTGGTAATTTTTGATTGGGTGCCAGACATTGTGTATTTTTCCTGGTTGGAGGCCAGATACTTTTGTATTCCTATAAATCTTCCTGAGCTTTGTTCTGGGACGTGGTTAAGTTACTTGGAAACGGTTCCATCCTGCTGGGTCTTGCTTTTAATATTTGTTAGGTGGAACCAGAGCAGTGCCAAGGAGAGGGCTAATTATTCGTCACTCCTTAATAACTCTGTGTGAGTCTGCGTCTAAGTTCTCAATTTTCCTACGGCTCCTTCAGTGCAAGGGTAATACCTGTGCTTTCTCTGTATTTGAAGTTCCAGCACTGATATTGGGAGGGCCATGGGAGGGCTTGACTTTATTTGTTCAAGAGTCTTGTGAGGGGAACCCAGGGTACATGAGGGAGGGGGAGGAGGGCCAGGATGAGGAGGCAGGAGACACAGCTCCGGGACTAAGGGGCTGAAAAACAGGCAAAGGGGAAATGCCTTGGAACCCCAGTTGACACGAGAAGATCCAGGGGCCCAATCACAGGGAAGGCTCGAGACAGTGAGCTGTTCACCTACTCAGCGCTGCAGCATGCAGGACGTGGGGTAGACCCGAGAAAGGTCTTCCAGGTTATGAGGGCTCAGGGATGCTGATCATCCATGGAAACAAAGAGGCCAATGAAAGAATATGCCCAGACAGGCAAACACCAATCAACCTGTCCTGGCTCAAAACCTGCCTGGAGCAGGGGAAGGACAGGAGGACTCTGGACGCTCCTCCTGCCGGCTCAGCGCCCTCGCTGTGACCAGGGCAGAGCCAGGAGCCCTCTGGGGGCAGGTGAGGGGAAGCCTCTGTGGCAGCAACCTTGACCATCAACGTGAGAGAGAAGGTGGAGGAGGAAGGAGGGAGGGAAGGGGGGTGGGGGGAGAGAGTCAGGAGGATCCAGAGGAGGAGGAGGAGGGTAAAGGACGACAGGAGGGAGAGGGATGGGAAGGGGACAGACGGAGGGACAGGCCAGACGCCAGCAGCCCCCAGGGAAGACAGACAGAGCGCCGTGGACAGAGGACAGCTGGTCAAGCTGGCTGAACCACGGTGCCCCAGGAGGACTCGTCACAAGGGGACACTGGCCGAGAAGGCAGTCTCCAGCGGAGGACCACAGGGCTCTGTTCCCACCCAGGCTGGTGGCCCACTAGGAAGAACCACAAACACCAACCAACCAGATCCGCAGAAGACAGAACCCGGGAGGGACACCGACACTGCCCGCCTCCGGCTGACCCCAGGGTGAGATTAAGCAGATGGAATATGGGCACATGGAAAGTTCTGCATTTAGGCTCGAGAGTTAACTGCACAGCAGAGAGGGAGGGAGAGTTGCCCGTCAGCGCTTCCTGCAAAAGCCGCGCTGGAGGCTCCGCGGGGCTGACAGGGTTCGGTTGCTGGAAAAGCTAACGTGACATCGGGTGGCATTGATGCAAGCAGAGGGTCCAGGGAGGAGGAGGTGAGACCACCGTCCTCTGGGCTGGTCCAGGGCCACCTGAGCCTGCTCTGCAGGGAGGGAGAACAAGCACAGGTGGGAGAATGTTCTGGAAGGCTTGCAGAGTCAGAGGACACAGAGGCAGAAGACGGGGTGCCCTCAGGAGGCCGTGGAATCAGACGGTGACCCCAGCTCTGCACCTCCTGTGACCTCTGACAGGGCCCTAACCTCTCTGAGCCTCAGTTTCCCCATCAGTAAAATGGAGCGATGGCAGCACCTGTTTCTCAGGGCAGCCGTGAGGCTTCGGTGTAAAGAACTGAGCCCAGAGGAAGTGCCCAGGAGACGGCGGGTCTGGGAGCCTGGGGCTGCCCCATTGGAGAAGTTGCTCGTGGCCCTGAGAGCTGCCTGCACCGTGGGGAGAGCTGCCAGCGTGGGGACAGGTGTGCCCCACAAGCACACACACACACATGGGCTGCCGACCCCAGAACGGGGCCTGTGTGAGGACCCTCCTGGGCATGGACTGTGGTCTGGCGTCAGGAAGTCCTGACCAGCAGGAATGGCTCACGGACACAAGGGGCTGCCTCTGGGGGCGAGAGGACACGAGGCTCAGGGAGGTCAAGCGACTCGTCCACGGCGACTCAGCAGAGCCTGGTCTGGACCTGAGACTCTGACGACAAGCCAGCGCTCGTGACCTCCACGCCAGGAGGACGACGGGGAGGAGGGACAGAGCAGAGGAGGGACGCTGAGGCAGAGGTGGCCCTGGAGGAGGGGCTGACACTCGGCCAGGCGGGGGGTGGGGCCCAAGCCCAGAGGGGTAGCGTGGCGGCTCCCCGTCGAGGGCCTGGACCCCAAGGCGGGTGGAGCTACTTACGGGTAGCAGGAGTAGGCATAGTGGTCTCTCCTGGCAGCGTGCAAAGAGAACAGCACAGTCGGCCCCCGTCCTGCCACAGGCCCGGCGAGGGCAGCGCCCAGCCCGCAGGGAGGGCCCTGGTGCTTTCCGTGCTGGGGAGGGGGCTGGCCAGGGACCCGACAGGTCAGAAGGGCCCTCCTCGTCCCAAGGGCCAGCTGGGCTCAGTCATTGAGGACCAGGACCCAAGGCCCCTTCCAGAATCTTCCTGAAGGCAGGCTGCTGGAGGGGGCAAAGCAGGAGGAGGCAGAGCTTTCACAGACACACACACACTTCATACGCACTCACTAATGCAGATGTAGACATGAGGCGCACACACATTCAAACACACTTATACATTGACACACACAGATATATATTCACAAACACACACACAGGTGTGCACACTCACACACTCAAGGTCACGCCCTCCCCTAGGGCTGCACTCACCCTGCACACGGCCCCCACCCTCAGTGCCAATGCCACTCACACCCACAGGCCCGTTGGCCCTGAGGGGACAGCCCTGCGTATTCACCTGTGCCTGAGAGGGACCGTGGCTGGGGCGGGGAGGGGCGGGGGAGGGGCAGGGAGGTGAGGACTCCAGCTGGACGCCAGGGTGAACCTGGGCTGCCCTCACCACCCAGGATGCCCTGGGAGTGGGGTCCATTAAAGAGGCAGCCCACCTCCTCGTGTGCACCCAGCGCATGCGTGGGTCAGGAGCTCTGGGTTACCGCTGTGCACCCCCAGAGAGGTGGCCGAGCAGGTCTGGTCCCACGGCACAGGTGGGGAAGCTGAGGCCTGGAAAGTCATGGTCAGCCCAGGACTCTGGGGGTCAGCAGTGGAGCCCAGAGCAGGACCAGGACCCCAACTCCAGAGCCAGCTCCCTCCTGAGGCCCCATCCAGGCCCATCCAGGGGTCCCTGAGCCACCGCCCCCACATCACCCGGCAGCAGGGACCCGATTGAGGGAAGGCAAGCAGAGTGGGGAGTGGAAGACCGAGGCCCAGCCAGGGCAGGAGACTGGCTGGAGTCACACAGCACATTGATCCAGGGCCCTGCAGCTGGTCACAGAGGCCTCAAAGGGGCAGGACAGCTGAAGGAATGGCATTCTTCTGGTCTCAGCTGAAATCCATGACTTCTGAGGGCCTTCCTGACTGCTCCCCGATAATCGCCACCACATCATGTCCCCCTTTACCCTCTCTGTGCCCCCACCCCAGCACCCCATCCTTTCCATAATTTGTAATTATCCATTTGGGCTTTTTCTGGTTTAATCCCGGGCTCCCCGCAAGCCACTAAGCCCCAGAGGGCAGCATCCTGGGTTGTCTGCCCACCGCTGGGTCCTGGGGCCAGGACAGTGCCCAGCACATTATGATCCCTCGAGAAACAGTTCATTGAATTGAGTGATCAATAAAGGAGGGAAAATAAATAAAAGAACGCCACCCCCAGGAGCCTCTATTCCCTCCTCTAAACAAGTGAGGATGATAATAACCCCCAGGGGCCGCAGGAGGCTGAAGGGACGGGAAGCACATGCTCAGGTCCTCCCTGCCTCCTCCGCCTACAGAGTTGGGCATGGGGGGCTCGGGAGGACCCGACTCCCCGGGGCCAGACCCTGGGGAGACACAGCCTACAAGACAGACCCTCCTCTGCTCTCATGGAGCGCTCCGTCCGGCAGGGAAGAGAAACACTGAGTACAGCGCTACAGGTACTTAAAAGAAAAAGCAGGGAGAAGATGACGCTGCCAAGAAGGGCGGACTCCGGAGGCAGAGTTAGGGACCTGACCCAGTCTGGGGTGCGCCAGGCTACCTCTTCCTTGCCCTGGAGTTCCCAGGGGCAGGTGCACCCAGCCTCGTTGTCCACACGGCAGGGCAGGATGGAGAATCTGATGCCTCCTCCCAAGCTGGCCCCCCGGGCTGCCTCCTTCCTCCAACAGGGTACACGGGGGGCAGCTGGGTAACTGGCCTCCCTCAGCAACCTCCTCATCTGCCCATGACATTCGCACCCCAAGGTGATCTGAACACCCCCATCCCTGCCAGGGCTGCTCTGTCCCAGGACACCCTGCAATGCAGACCGGGGGAGCCCTGAGGAGCACAGTAGACCCTGAAGGCCAGGCTGGATTCAGGGGGACGCAGTGAGGTGCTAGAGAAAGGGGCTGAATGGCTTTAGAGGAAGGAAGGAGGTGCCAGGGGACCCTAGAGCTTTTGGGGTCCCCTGGAAGAGTTTGTGGGCTGGCAGCTGCGTAAAGCGGAGGGTTTCCTAGTGAGGTGCTGGCAGCATCTCTGACCATCCTCTCTTGGGCCCAACACTCTCTGCAGGGGTGAGGGACATCCCCCATCCTGCCACGCCTCTCTCCTGGAGGGTGGATTTCAAGGCCTCAAACACTACCTGCAGCTCCCCAAACTCTCCCCCTCTCTCACAGCTCTCTCCATCTGCCCCACGCCCCAGTCCCCAGAGCCAACGCCCAGACAGACAGGCACTTGCCCCTTCTGGGTGGCACCTACTGCGCGCCGGCCGTGGTGAGGCCCTTCAGAGCCCGGCCTGCGAGGAGCACGGCTCTGCGGTCAGGCCTGGGTTCTATCCGGCCCCTCCACCCGTCAGCTGAGCGACACAGCAAGTCAATAATTACAGTTTCCTCATCCATGAAAGGGAGACGGACCCGCTCTGTGGGTCAGGACCCTAGAAGCAAATGTCCTCTGATGTATCCCGAGTGCACACAGTAGGTGCTCAAGAACTAATGTCCTAAGGGATGATGTGTGTAAAGCTCTCAGCACACAGTAATACTGATCAAATGATGGTTTAAAAGATTTTGTCTCGTGAAACTGTGCAGGGACTAGGGAAGGGAAAAAAATCACAGGCTGACACCCTGGACAGGCCACCCCCCACACCACCCCCTCACCATGCCCCCACACTGGCATGCCCCACCCCTCTCTCCTGCAAGGGGATCCCTAGCCAGTTTTCCTTCATCCCCTGGATCCTACTTAGCTGCTCCCAGCAGCCCAGAGACCCAGCGCCAACTCACCCAAGTGTGCCCAGCCTGGCAGCAGCAGGGGCTACAGAAGCCAGAGCCCAGGAGGGGAGGAAAGGGAGCAGGCCTGCCTCTGGTTCCCTGGGTGACCGTGGCAGGTCCACGCTCCCTCTGGCCTTCAGTGTCTCCATCCCTCAATTAAGGTGCTTGGACCACACTGTCCTGGGGCTGCCTGATGGGGAATGAGGTGGGGCAGCGGGGGCGAGCAGAGAGGTCTCAGAAGCCTCCCCCCACCCACACCCCCGCCCCACCTCCAGCCAGAGCCTTGGCCTTCATCTGCTCCATGGACCGGGCTCCCAGGGAAGGTTTATTTGGTGTTCTGAAGACAGGTTCTGTTGCTTTAAAAAGATCTGAAACCCACTAGGCTAGATGTCCTTGAACTGCCTGGCAGCCTTTACTTCCTGGGCTCTGAGCCTCCACAATTCTAAATTCTGAGATTCTCAGAACCCCAGATCCTGGTCTCCTGAAACTCCAGAATTCGAAGTCGTGGATTCTAAGATGTACTGGGACTCACGTCGCCCACTGCAACACATCCCTCGTAAACACACAGCTGGACCTTGGAGGCCTGGGAGAGGGTGGGGGCAGGAGGGAGGTCTTCTGTGAGTCACGGGCCCAGGAGGACTCCTCAGGGGACCTACAGCAACAGGGTCCAGGGCAAGCTGAGACCAAGAGAGGGTGGCGCCCGGAAACAGCCATGGCTCAGGGTCCTCGGTTTGAAGGGGAGTGAGCACCACCACCCCTGCCAGGGTCAACACCCAGGGCAGGGCAGACAGGTTGGCAGAAGGTCTGCAGGGGGCTGGGGACTCAAAGTCAGGCCACTTCCACACCCTCCCCACTGGAGCAGCCCCGCAGGCACAGGAGGGCGGTGCCCACTTCCAGCACAGCTCCTTGGCAGCGGGCACCGAGCGCCCTTCCCTGGATAGTGGCAGCAGGCACCAGCCAGACCTGGGCCCCAGCCAAGCCGCTCTGGGGCAGCCCCATCTGCAGAGTCTCTGGCTTCCCACCGCCCGGCTTGGGTCCATCCACAGGCCTGATGCCCAGGCTGGCAGCCCTCCACACACCCGCCAGGCGGCTGCCCTACCAGTTCCCAGCCACCGCTCCTCTCTGCCCACCAGGCCTCTGAGGGTCAGGAGCCACAGGTGGGCCAGGGCACCAGCGTCACTCACCCCTTCCGGATGATGATAACGATGGCCCTGCACTCTGGGAGGCAGAAGTGCCTTTGCCTTGCTCTCCAGCTGTTTCTTTCAGGCTTTAAAGTCGCAGGGAGTCACCTGAGTGTCCTGGTCACCAGCCGGTTGCAAACACCAGCCAAGGCCCCGCTCAGCCTCCATCCACTTTCCAGGCTGACGTCAGGCCTCCCTCCGCCCTGAGACTCCCCAGGAGACGAGAGCGATCAACATTAGCCAGGAGCAAAGCGCATCTTTATCTGGGATGACCCCCATCATGCAGGTAAGGAAAGGGAGCTCAGAGAGGTGAAGGGACATGCCTAAGGTCACACAGCACTGCTGTCATGCGGCTTCCCCGCCAAGGCACTCTGTGGCCTTTCCCACCTCCCCCACCCCCCACCACAGGCTCCCTGAGCTGGTGAAGAAAGGAGTTTGGGTTTCCTGGGTCACACCCAATCTCTCACACACGCTCGCACACGCTCAGACACAGCATGCCCCCCCCACCTCGCACCCACTGCATATACACACCAACCCCGACCCCTGACCCCACTCTCACACAGCTGTGCTCTCCCGCACCCCTCTCGCCTGAGCACCTCCCTCTGGCAGAGGCAGCCCCCAGGGGTGGTGTCGGCCCCCACAGGAGGCAAAGGAGGGGAGGAGGAGCCACGCTCTTGGCCATTCCAGAGAGATGGTCCTCTCTGGCCGGCTGCCCCAGCTTCCAGAAAGTCCACCCCTGTGTCTCCCTGGCAGGACCATCCAGGAGAAGAGCCAGGAATCAGCAAGCCCTCCATCTCTGCGGGGCGTCTGAGGGGAGATCCTCTGCATGGCCTGGCCAGGCACCGCTCCCGGCTGGCTGTTCTCTAGTGATGTCATGACAGTCACCATCAGATACTCTGGGCCTCAGAGGAGGTGACCCTGGGCTCCCCGCCTGCCCGGGATCATGGAAGTCCTCCTTCAGACCCCTGAGCCCTGAGTGGGAGACTGAGGGACAGCAAGGCTGAGCTGGCCTGTGTCGGGGGCTCTGGGTCACAGGAGGGGCCTCATCCCTCCTGCCTCTGAGGGGTTCACTGTGGCCCTTGCCAGACTCAGCAGCACTGTCAGTTCCATATGCTGGCCCTCACTGATCCAGAACTCCTGGTCGGGGGATGATCTGAAGAATGAAGGATGCCATCACCTAGGGGCCCTGGGAGGCTCGGGCCTTTCCCCAGAAGACCCCAATTCCATCTCAGTGTGGAGGGAAAAGGGTCTGAGGGTAAGGAAATGGACCTGTGGGGCCGGCTGGGTGACATAGTTGTTAAGTTTACATGCTCCACTTGGGTGGCTCTGAATTCATGGGGTTGGATCCTGGGCACAGACCTACACAGCACTCATCAAGCCATGCTGAAACAGTGTCCCACATACAAAATTGAGGAAGACTGGCACAGATGTAAGCTTGGGGTCAATCTTCCTCACCAAAAAAAAAAAAAAAAAAAAAGAAAGAGAAAAGAAAATGGAGCTGTGTGGCTTTGGGCAAGTACCTTGACTTCTCTGTGCCTCAGTTTCTTCATCTGTAGCATGGGATAATAATGTCCCTCCCTGGCAGGGATGTTGTAAGCACCCCATACTGCACAATGAGGGACCAGCATATGGAAGTGACACCCCATACTCCATACTGTGTGCCAGTCTCAGCACACAAGAAGAGCTCAACAAATGTGGCCTGCTGACATTAGGACCAGGTTTGCATCCTGGATCTGCTGCCTCAAGCTGTCTGACCTTGAGGAAGTCCTTTCCCCACTCTCTGCCCATATATACAGTCTATAAGGGGGACCAGTCTCATAAGCACAGTGCCACAGGCTGTCGTGAAGGTCAAATGGGAGCATGAGTGATTAAAAAAAAAGCCCAGGACGTCTGCGCCCTGATCAGCACACGCCAAGCCTGGGATGTCCATGCCCTGATCAGCACACACCAAACTCAGCACGAGTGATGCTGTGCAGATGCTCCTTACTGCCAGGCTCTGCTGCTCCCCACCCCCATCCAGTCTCTCGTGAGGGTCCCCAGCCCCCTCCATCTGCCTGCTAATGAGCCGGAGGCTTCAGCAATGAGGCTGTTTCATCACTTAATGCGCTGGAACAGCCTCTGGAACAGAGGGAGGGGGGAAGTGGGGAGGGGGAGGAGGGAGAGAAGGGTAGAGAAGGAGAGGGGACTGGGGATGCCTGGCTCCCCACGGCCTGGCGGCTCCAGGGTCTGTGCACAGAATTGCTTTCTCCCGTCCAGAGCAATCAGTCCGAGGGGAGTGCGGCACAGCCCAACTTTCGCTGTGGAAGTCCCCTGGCCCGTGATATGTAAGGAAGTGAGGACCTGCAGATGAGCCCAGCTTCCACCCAGCACCTGCTCACTGGCCTTGCTGACTTCGGGCTCACTCCCCTCCCCATCTAATCCCTGCCATGCCTCAGAGTAACCCTGAAAACCTCCTCAGGTCTCGTTGTGTCCTTTCCTGGACCCCTTTCGGGCCTACAGTGGTTTCTCCCTGGGGCCTGGGGCCTGCCACTCCCTCCTTACCACTGGGCCTTTGCACATGCTGTTCCCTCCTCTGGCTCCACCTCCCTTCCTTAGGCTTCTGTGGCTCCCTGAACTTCTCTGGTCCCCGGTCTCCTCTGTGTTATAAGTGACAGTTCACTCCTCTGTCCCCGCCAGGGATTGGAAGCTCCTCAGGCCTCTGCATTTGGCTCAGTCACTGCTGTTTCCCGAGAACAGGGCGGTGCCCGACGCCTCAGCCAGCATTTCCTGAGCACGGACTGTGTGCTGTGTGCTGGGGACTGCGCTCAGCCCTTTACTAGCATACATCAATTAACCTTCGAAGTCATCTTCAAGGACATACTGGAGACAGGACAGCATCGGGGCTGGGAGCACGCGCTTGAAGGTCAGGCTGGCTGGATTTGAACCCGGCTCCGCATTTACCAGCTGGGTAGATCTTTATCGGGTTATGTGCCTCAGTTTCCTCATATAAGATGGAGCGAGTAATGACAGCACCTACCTCATGGGGCTGTTCTGAGGATTAGAGTGAATTTATATAAAGAGCTTAAAACAATGCCTGGCACAGAGTAAGCATGGCTGTTAGTGTGATCCACAACTTGAAGAAACCAAGAAGGAGGGAAAGCCACCCACCCCGGGTCTCAGCAATGAGGTGGTAGGGTTAGAATGTGACTCCAGGATGTGCCTCACCCCAAAGTACTCTGCTCAGCTAAGCCTCAGGGCCTTTGACCTCTTGAGCCTCAGTTTCCCCATCTGTAAGCTGAAGGGGCTGGAGTGGATGTTGCCTAGGGTTTCAGTGCTAACACGCTTTGCCTCCATGATGCTCGGTGGAGAGTCCAGACTTCCAGCAGGCTTCAAAAGCCATGGGCTCCCCCATTCAAACCAGGGTCCGATTTACAGCCCCTGGATGACAGGCTCGATTTCTGGTGGGCGGTGATGGCAGGTTGGCCTGAAGTGAGGTGGGCTGAACTTAGCAGACGAGGCTTTCGGGGAGGGGCTGCACGGGGACCCGCAGCATGAAGAGACAGGACCGTTGGGCCCCCCTTGGCACCTGCCACAGCAAGTCACAGGCAGAAGGGGCAGGAACACCGTCTGCATCTGCAGGAGCCAGCCGGCAGCACCTCCTTCCAAGCCGGAGCCTGCTGCGCGGACGCTGCTGTCTACAGAGGCCCCTGGGGAGGGGTGGACGTCCCGCGCTGAGAGGGCTAGAAAACGGATTCTGATGGGGGGGCACCTACTGTCTGCCTGACGCCTTCTACAGCCTGTCCCACTTTTACCTCTGCAGATGGAGTTGTTCCTTCCCAAATCCAGCCGCCCTTCACTTCCTCCCTGAACCTAATTCAGGTCCCCCCATGGCATCTGTCATCCAGTATCTCAGCAGCCTCCTCGCTGAGTGCCTGTTGCAGTCCCTGCAGATCATAGCAGACGGGGGAGATCTCCCTGAGACCCACGTCGGGTGGTGCCCCCTTATCCCTCCCTGGATCCTGTAACGGCTTCTCCTTGCCCTCCTCCACTGGCCTGCAAAGACCTCCGTGGTCTATTTCCTCACCTCCCTCCACAGCCCCTGGCCTCCCTGCTGCTCTGGGAACATGTCAGACTCATCCCCACCATGGGGCTCTGTCACTTGATATTCCCTCTGCTGGGGAAGCTCAGAGCTTGACCTCTCTGGCCCCGTTTTTGTGTCTTTTTGGTCTCAGCCTAGATGTCACCACCTCATAGAGGCCTTTTCTGAACTTCTCCTGCTGGAGTCCCCCCTCCCTGAAATCCCTGTGCCCTTAGGGCATCTCATCTTTTCCTTTTCAGGCTCTGAGCTGTGCACCGAGGACACAGCAGAGAGCTGGACCTGTTCCTGTCCTCGGGCCCTTTGGGAGTCTATTGATAAGGTGGAAGGATGGGGACAAATATTAGTCGAGGACTAACACACACATAAATATACAAATGCAACTGATGGTGCCACACGGGAAGCACATGGGTTGCCATGGAAACATGTAAGGAGGGGGCTGACCTACTGTGGGAGTTAGGGAGGGCCTCTCTGTTTCTGTCTGAGTGACATTAAAATATCTAAAGGATGGGGCTTCCATTTCCCCCAAGGTGGAGTGGCCTAAGTCCTCCCAGGTCTTCCTCCTTACAACTGAAAAATCCTGAACATAAAACAACAACAAGCGTGGATGACTCTGAAAGATGGAGAGGAGCTTGAAGAATGGTGTGGCCGTGGGTTTCCTGGGTTTCCTTACTGCCCCCCGTACACCCTGACAGGGCACTGCAAAAGCCTCCAACCCAGAGCCAGTAACAGACACAGGCTAAAAAAGCTCCAAGAAAAACCTGTCACTCCAGCCAAAGGACTTGGAAAAGGGTGACCTAATAACAGAAAACTTGTCAAAGTCTGCCTTCCTCCAGCCAATAGCAACAGAAAAACTGCTCTCCCCCCTGCTCCCTCTGCCCTGCATTTTCAGTAGATGGAGCAGGAAGCTGAGGTTCCACCCTACCTCACCTTCACCCTATGTGAACAGGCACAGATGCTCTCATTCCCCTGCCAGGGCGTGTCGGATGCGTCTAGGCAGGAGCTAAGCCTCCACTCTCATCCGGCAGCAACGAGACTTAAGTGGTGATGGAAGGTGGGGCTATTCACACTCAATGCTCCCGTCCACTGTCCAATTATCAGTGGGTCCCAAAGAGAAACTGAGTCTCCAGCCCCACCTGGTCTCAGTGAGGTAGGATGAAGTGGGGGAAGGCAGGACTGGCTGGCGTTCCTCTTACCTCCCTCTTTCCCCTCACCCTTCCCTTGGTGTTAGCAGGGCTCAGTGGGAAGCTCAGCTTCTGCAGCAACAAAGTGGTGAGTCAGCCCTCAGCATCCTCGTCCCCAGTGTCAGTAGAGCACAGTGGGAAGCTGAGCTTAACATCCCCATTCAGAAGCAACCAGGGAGTAGAGTTGGTGACCTGTTTTTGCAGGCATGTCAGGGGGGAGCTGAGCATACACACCCATCTGGCCTCTTGCTATGACTTCTGGCCAAAAAAGAAAGAAAAGATTAAATAGAATCCAGAGTCTTACAATATCCGAAATGTCCAGGATGCAATAAAAAAAGAATCACTCATCATACCATGAACCAGGAAAATCACAACTTGAATGAGAAAGATAATCAACAGATGCCAACACTGAGATGAATCAGATGTTGGAATGATCTGACAAGGACTTTAAAGCAGCCATCATAAAAATGATTCAATAAGCAATAATGAATTCTCTGGAAACAAATAAAAAAACATCTCAGCAAAGAAATAGAAGTTATAAAAAAGAACCAAATGGAAATTATTGTACTAAAATATACAATACCAAAATAAAAAACTCAATAAATGGCTCAACAGTAGAGCGGAGAGGATAGAGGATAGAATCAGTGAACTCGAGGGTACATCAATAGAATTTACCCAGTCTGAGCAACAGAGAGAAAATAGACTGAAAAAAAATTGAACAGAGTTTTGGAGACCTGTGGGACCATAGAGAAAGAATTAACGGTGACATCATTGGTATCTCAGGAGAGGAGAGAGAGTGGGACTGAAAACATATTTGAAGAAATAATGGCTAAAACCTCCCAAATTTAGTGAAAGACATACACTTACAGATTCGAGAAGCTGAGCAAATCACAAATAGGATAAACCCAAAGAAATTGATGCCCAGTCACATCATAATTAAACGTTCAAAAACTAAAGACAATGAAAAAAATCTTGAAAGCAGTCAGAAAGAAACTATGTGTTACTTATAAGTTACGTCAGTTTGAATGACAGGGGATGTCTCTTTTGAAACTGTGGAGACTCCAATTAAGTGGAAGAACAGTTTTCAAGTTCACAGAGAAAAGAAAAGAACTGTCAACGATGAATTCTGTATCTGGTGAAAATATCTTTCAAGAATTAGTGGGAGGGGCTGGCCTAGCGGCAAAGTGATTAAGTGTGTGTGCTCTGCCTTGGTGGCCCAGGGGTTCACAGGTTCAGATCCGGGGCACAGACCCACACATTGCTCATCCAGCCGTGCTGTGGCAGCGTCCCACATAGAAGGACTAGAAGGACTTACAACTAGGATATACAACTACGTACTGGGGCTTTGGGGGTAAAAAGAAAAAGAGGGAGACTGGCAACAGATGTTAGCTCAGGGAAAATCTTCCTCACCAAAAAGCATACCTTTAAAAAAAAAGAAGGGGAAAATAGAGACTTTTTCAGATGAATGAAAACTAACAGAATTTGTTGTTAGCAAATGTATCCTTAGAAAATGGCTAAAAGAAGTCAACCAAACAGAATGGAATGATAACAGAAGAAGGCTTGGAACTTCAGGAAGGAACGAAAACTATCAGAATGGGTTGGGGTAAATAGAATAGACAATCCTTTTTCTCATGAGCTTTTAAAATCATATTTGGTGGTGGAAATAAAAATTAAAAACCATCTAATGTCATATTCAATGTATGTAAAGAAAGTACTTAAGACTGTATACTTACAAAGTGTGGAGTGTAAAAGGATCTAAATGGAAGTAAGGTGTCTACACTAGCTCACAGGGGTAAAATGTCAATACCAGCAGAGTACAATAAATTGTGTATTACAGTATAATACTTAGAGCAAACACTAAGAAAATTATATGAAGTGATATATTAAAAAACACTTAAATCAATATGAAATTCAAAAAAGTGTTCAGGTAGGTAAGATGAGAGATACAGAGGAATGAGAAATAAAGAAAACAAAAAATAAAATAGCAGACTTAAGCCCTAACCAATCAGTAACTAAATGTAAATGGTCTAAATACATCAAATGAAAAATAGAGATTGGCAGACTAGACCGAAAACAAAGCAAAACAAACAAAAAGCCAAAGAATACACCATCCAACAATGTGCTGAGTACAAGTAACTTCAAATACAATGGCATAGATACAATAAAGACGAAAGAATGGAAAAAGGTATACCATAGAAACATTAATTTAAAAAGCAGGAGTGGCCATATTAACATCAGATAAAGTAGACTTCAGAGCAAAGGAAATTACTGGAGGGAAAGAGGGACATTACATAAATGATAAGAGGGTCAATCTACCAAGAAGACATAACAAGTCTAAATATGTAAGTGCCAAATATAGAGCCTTGAAATACATAAAGCAAAAATGATAAAGCTGAAAGAAGAAATAGAAAAATCAAAAATTATAGGTGGAAACTTCAAGATCACATTCTCAGCAATTGATACCACTCATAGAAAAGAAGCAAAGACGTAGAAGAACTGATCACCTCAATCAAGAGGATCTAGTTGACAGTTACAGAATACTCCATCCAAAACACACATCTATTTTCAAGTGCCCATGAGACATTTTCCAAGATAGAGTATGTCCTGTGCCATAAATAATAATAAACACAATAAAAAAAGGTCAATGGATGGGTTCATAGCTGAGTAGATAGGGGACAGAGAGGAAAGAGTCTATTGAAGAGGGAACAATAGAAATTACCCAATCTGAACAACAAAGAGAAAATACACTTGAGGAAAAAAAGAACGCCTCAGGGACCTGTGGGACTATAACTAAAGACCTAACGTTTGTGTCATCAGAGTCCCAGAAGGAGAAGAGAAATGAGGGTTGTCTGAAAAAGTATTTGAAAAAATAATGGCAAAAGACATAAACCTACAGATTCAAGAGCTGAGTGAGCTCCAAATAGGAAAATCCAAAGAAATGCACACCAGGACATATCATAGTCAAACTTCCAAAAATTAAAGACAAAGAAAATATCTCGGAAGCAGTGAGAGAGAAGAACTGACACCTTATCTATAGGGGTAAATATTGGAATGATAGGTTATTTCTCATCAGAAACTATGGAGGCCAAAAGTAAGTGGCACAGCGCAGTTAAGTGCTGAAAGAAAAGAACTGTCAGCCCAGAATCCTATATTCAGTGAAAATATCCTTCATGAATGAAGAGGAAACCAATACATTCTCAAATAAAGGAAAACTAGGATAATTTGTTGTCAGCAGACCTACCCTAAAAAAATGGCCAAAAAAATGCTCTAACGGAAAGGAAAAAATAAAAGAAGGAATCTTGGAACATCAGGAAGAAGAAAGAGCATGGTGAACAAAAATATGGGGAAATACAATAGACTTTCCTTTTCCTCTTAGGTTTCTAAATTGTTTGATGTTTGAAACAAAAATTATAACCCTGTCTGTTGTGGTTCTATATGTATGTAGAGGAAATCATTAAGACATTTATATTATAAATGGGGGCGGTCAAAGGGAGGTAAGATTCCTGCACTTCACCCAAACTGGTAAAATGACGGCACCAGTATCTGTGACAAGTGATGCAGATATAAGGTAGCACCCAGAACAGACACTAAATGAGTCTGCAAAGAGATAGGCTTGAAACACTGTAGACAAATCAAAATTGAAGTCTAAAAAATAATCGAGTGACAGGAACGCGGGAGAAAGAAATAAGGGATGTTGGTCTGTAGTTTTCTTTGCGTGTGCTGTCTTTGTTTTTGGTGTCAGGGTGGAGGAGTGTCTGGCTGAAAATAATATAAGATTCTTCAACTGAAAAAATGAGGGAATAACGGGGCTGCCTCATGGAGATGGCTCTGAGGTTTAAGGTGACGCAGGTAAGACAAATGCCTTAATGCCAGGCACATGGAATATGTAATTCACCTTCAATAAATGACCACTGTAATTTCTGTTTAATAACACAGTCTCACTTCTTAATTCAAGGTCACCCTGGACTGCAGTCTGGATCAGCCTATTTTTTGTAGTTTTAAAATTTATGTTCCAAAATTGATCTGAAATAGCTTATAGCCATACATTTGATGCAATGTATGCATCTGTAGAGAAATCAGGATGAAGGGGGAAGTGAAAGCCTGATGGCTAAGTAAATGATGTCATCAAGTCTCTCTGCATTGTTGGCTCTCGTCTCCATCCTGATGGCTTCACATTCCTGCAGGCCCTCTCCTCCATACTGTCCCACAGCTCAGACCGTGCTCACGCCCTATTGTCTCTAAGTCCGCAGAAAGTCCCAGAATTCAGCCTCATTAGCTTGGATGGGGCCATGTGCTCATTCCTGAACCAAACATTGTGGCCAGGCAGATGCAAGGCTCTGATTGGCCAGGGCTGGAATTCTGCCCCCGCCTCCATCTGGAGGTAGAATGATTTCTGCAGGGCCCCTGAAGACTCAGAGGGCAGCCTGGAGGTTTCTCAAGGAAAATCAGGAGACTGTTATCAAAGGCTCGTCCTGGATGCTGAGTGGGCAGAATCTCCAGAGGGTACTGAGGACCGGAGTCAGAGATGGGTCCTGTATCGGTTTCCCAGGGCTGCCGTAATAAAGCAGGCTGGTCGGCTTAAACAACAGAAGTTCTTCGTCTCACAGTTCCAGAGGCTGGAAGTCCAACACCAAGGTGTGGGCGTGGTTGGTTCCTTTAAGGCTCTGAGGAAGTATCCGTTCCGTGCCTCTCCCTAGCTTCTGATGGGCTGCTGGAAATCTTCCACATTTCTTGGCAGCATCGCCCAGATCTCTGCCTTCATCTTCACACGTCGTTCTCCCTGTGTGCATGTCTCTGTCCAGTTCCCCTCTTTATTAGGACACTAGTGATATTGAATTAAAGACACGCTAATGACCTCATTTTAACTTGGTATCTGTCTAATGACCTATCTCAGAAAGAGGTCACATTCTGAGCCACTGGGGGTTAGGACTTCAACATAGGAATTTTGAGAGGACACAATTCAATCCACAACAGGCAAGGAAGCTGGTGCCACACCCCTCTCCCCTTTCCTGGGCCAGTGCGCCCCTGCTCTGGCAGCGGTGAGTACTAACCTCAGCTGAAGGGAGCGCATGGCCGACTTACCCTGCAAAGGCCAGGGTTATGCTCTCCCCACTGGGTGACTTCCAGCTAATGAGCGGCTGGCACAGGTGCAAAAGGCCCGGCTCATCGCCCGAGGCGGCACTGCCATGTGGTGGCACGCATGCTCCAGGGCTCCCTGTGGCCTCAGGCTGAGCCCACACCCTTGCCTGGCTCCTTTCCTCCCTCCCCTGCTCCCCTCACTGCCCCCTCCTGAGAGGGGGCCCTCCCACTTGCCCCCCAGGTCCCCAATCTCAGGCTCTGCTTCGAGGGAACGGAACCTGCACTAGATCCCTGCCTGGAGCAGCCTCACCTGCACCACC